CCTGCCGCGGGCGCCGCCGCTCTGCACGCCGGGAGTTGGAGTCCAGGCTGGGTCGCGGGGCCCTGCTGGGGGGCGGGGGGAACCACAGACCCTGGGGGAGAGGTCGGGAGCGCGGAAGCCACCTGGATTTGCTTTGAAAATTTGTCCTGAGCCCGCACTTAACCTCTGGAGGACGAGCAGCGCCTAGCACGCGGGCTGCCGCAGTGCTGTGAATGGAGGAGCTGCCTGCGCTGAAAGCTTGTTCGAGGGCCCTGGAGACCTGCGGGTTTAACCAGTGCCGGCAGCCCCGGCACCCCCCGAGCTGGGGCAGAGGGGCCCAGAGCAGCTCCGGCATCGGCCCTGACCCTCTCTGTGACCCACAGGTTGTAGTGTGGTTCCTGCATATGGCCAGACCTCGTCCAGGGCCAGGCCCGGCCTGGTCCCACCCACCCCCAATAAGATCATGGCAACTACAGGTATTTTAATATAAAGAGATTTTGATTTGCATTTGAGTAATAGCTCTGGGTGTTTTTCTCCAAAATGCTTGAAGGGTCTTCTCACTTTTTTCTACTTTCAGGTTCTTTTTTGCTCCAGTCAGGTTGACCCTTTCGAGTTTTGCAATGTTTGTAGTGTTTTTATTCTGCACGTTTTCTAATAAACGTTACTAACTTTAAGAAATTGAAATACCTAATAAATAACCTTCAAATCTAGAGTTTTTCCGTGTCCTGAGAACAGCTATGCCTCTGCAACGCATCTTGCGCTACTTGAAACCCAGCTATTTTAGTGCGTCTCTGACGATCCCACAGACAGTTTCGCAGCAATGTGTGCCCGCACATACACGACAGTATTTTTTTATCCTAACTTTCAACGAGAGGCAGCCCATGCTACCGACAGAGCCATCACCAGCGTTGCAGCTGACGTCCAACACTTCACAGACTTTAGGCTCTCTGCCTCAGTTACGGCCCTTGAGGCGGTTTTGTTGCTGCTGCTGCTGCGTCGCCACTCCCTTCGCGCCGCTAACGCCACCAGGAACGGCTAATTAAAGCT